TCATGTAACCTCAATTTCGATTACTCTATTAATAAAGATCACGAGAAATGCCTCACTTAACATTTAAAAAAAAAAAAAATAATTTGTTATATTTATATAATAATAAACTAATCTAATTAAATAATAAAACTTTATTTTATTTTTGTTTTTTTAATAAGTATTAAATATAAGGTTTTTATTAAACTTTTATTATTTTCAATGTATTAAGAATCTTTACAAAGTAAATTAATTCTAGTTTATTAAAAAAAAATCAAAGTAACATATACAAACTTTAAAACTCTATAAGAAAAGAAAAAAAAAGTAACCAAAAATTAGTTGCTAGTTGTATTAAATTCAATATATATATTTGCTATATAGATAGTTGTAATGATAAAATAATATTGTTAAAAGAATTAATTAAATAAAAAAACTTTATTAATATAATTTTTAAAATATTTGTTTATATTAAACCAAAAATTATTTTTTAATTTTATTAAAATAAAAAAATATTAATAAAATCTATTTAAATAATTTATTTTTAAAATTTATATAATTTATAATAAATATAATATTAAAAAAACTGATTTAAATAAGATAAAAGTTTAAAACAAAATTGTTATTAATAAAAAAATATATAATATTTAATACAAATTTTTAAATAATTATTAAATATCATTAATAGTATAATAAAATTATTATTATTTTGATAGCTTTTGATTAATAATACAAATATTTTATTATTTTAAATATAATAAAAATTTTTAATTAATCTTATAATATATATCATATATAAAAGTAAATATAAAATATATTTATATATACAAATTATTTTTTTTCTTGTATAAATTATTGAAATATATAAGTTTTAAAGTTTGATTTTATTAAAACTTATAATTAATATTGAATAAAAAATTTTTTTAAATTAATTTGTTATTTGTAACAATATTTAAAAAATTTTATAATTTAAAAAAATACAAATAATTTTAAAAACAAGTTTTTGAAAAAAAATAACTTAATTGATTTATAAATCTAACAAAAAAAAAATAATATTAATGTAACAAATTTGAAAATATATTATTTGTTTATTTATTTAATTTAATATTGATTAATAGTAATTTAAATTATATATATATATGTAATGTATAAATTAAGATAATATATAAACAATTATGTACAGTATATCAAATATTAAAAAATGAACAACTAATTTTTTAAATTAAAATTTTTATTATTTATCTAATATTATATAAGATAATACTTTATTTTGAGTTTTTATATTTGCTATTTGCATATGGTTTGATTTTATTTTATATAATTCCAGAAAAATGATATATAAAAACAAAAGAATAAAGATAGATCCAGATTAATATACCAGTGTCTTATTTTATATAAATTTTTGTTGTAATTAATAGCTGATCACAGTATCAATTGTTCCTTACAATATATATTTTTAAATTAAAAATGTAAAAATATTACTATTTGGTTTAAAAATATTTAATGATAAAATTTTTTGATTTAATTTTTTATGATAAATACCAACAATGCAAATTTTATATAATTTTTTAATATCGTCAAATTTGTAAATTGATAAATTAAAGCGTAATTTTATTACTTAATTATTTTTCACATAATTAAAATTTTTACTTAAGTAATAAAGAACTAAAAAATCATTTAATAATCAAACAAATCTTTAAAGAATCTTGATGGAAATATTTACAGTATTTATTTGGAGATGTACTATTAATGCGACCTACATTTTGCTGTTGACATATACATGTACGTTGATGGCTTGGATTTGGCTGGTATAAAACTAAATTTTGATATAAATGAAATTCAGTTTAACATTTTGCCGCGTGATGAAATTAAACTTAAAAGGCATTCGTTATATTTTTGTTCGGGGAGACAATTAAGATATTTGTAGGAATTTATTTTATGGGATAAAACAAAACATATTGCAGTGTGATTGTTCCTAGGAAAAGGTTTACCCACGTATATACAGTACATACATACATAGATAAAAAAAAAGTTCAAAATACTGAATCGGTACGTTATATATATAAACAGCAGTAAAATAAAAATTTAAATCTTAATTACTGATTGTCATAAATATTGTTGGGGACGAAAGCACGCGTGTAATGATTGAAAGGGACAGTTCTACTTGATCGGATCAAGTATTTCGTTTTCACATGTCTCTGCTTCTAGCTATTTACATGATATATAAACTAATAGAAAAAAAGTTTCAAAGTCGCTGGTTATCGCGACAGTTCTTCCAAGTTCTCGATTGATTTTATCGGGATGATAAAATATACTATAAAAAGTGTCGTAATTTATTTTTGTAATATTTGCCATTGTTGAGAATAAATTACTTGATATTTATGGAAGAGATAATCTCATTGGTTTAAAAGGTAGCGACTTCTTTAATAATGGCACAATAGAATACTGTTTTTCGTAAACCATATCTCCATGTTTGATTAATTATTTTCATTACGTACTGTACATCTTACAGAGTGTTTTGAATATGACAAATTTAAAAATAAAGGTAATATTCTCCGTTTGCCATTTATCATAAAACTACTGAATGCTAACAATATAAATATCTTGAATGACTTTTTCCTCATTAGCTTTAGTTCTTTACGAATTCAACTTTATTTTATGAAACTTTTGATAGTATGGTATAGGAAAAAGTCAACGGGTTTAACTTTATCCGCCAAGTTACACAAAATTCGAGTTGATCAACTTAATTAGGGTCAAGGTTTTTTGTTACGTGAATTCACTCTTTTAAAGGAAAAAAAGAATCAAATGTCTAATTTTAAAGAGTTGTGTAAAATCAAGACCGAATTTGGAGGAATTGAAGTAACCAAATTGAAATCCAGCAAAACTGGATTATCGGTTGTGTTGGTTGATGTCGAAGGTTCGGTTCTAGTTCTTTGGTTTTACCAGATTTTTTTTTGATTTGACTCTAACAATGTCAAATTTTCCACAGCTCCACTTGTCAATGGATTTTTTACCGTTGTTACCGAAGGTATTCAAGATTACGGTAGCCAATGCATGCGAACAGAATAATTGTGTCTAATTCAAATTTTGATTTAGCTGTTGACGATAACGGGTGTCCTCATACTTTAGAACAGTAAGCAATAATGATATTTCAAATGCAGATCAGATAGCACATTTATAGAATTCTAATTAGTCATTCTGCTGCAGTTTGGTTTTTTTGGGTAGCGAGTTGTATCCATACAAGGTAAAAGAAGATTTTGGTTGGGTTTTGATCGAGGATCATTTCAAATCATGATTATTTGATGATAATAATAGGGAGTCTTGGACTCATTAGCGAACCGCGCGCTCGCTCGAGGAACGAACGCGTGGACGGCGGTTGATCACACGTGTTACACGATCACGACCGCTGGAAGCGAAGGTTTCTTGAATCTGCTGCCAATATATGTGGATCATATTTTATATCCTACTTTAACCGAGAGTGGTCATTATACCGAGGTGTGTGCATGTACATTATTATTTCACATGTACGAAAAATTAATGTCAACTATACTAATTGTATAAAAGGTTCACCATATAAATGGAAAAGGCGAAGATGCTGGTATGGGATTTTGGTTATTGCGTAGGTTTGCTCGTTAAAATAATCGTTTAAATTTCTAATAAAAATTTCTTTCAGGGGTATAAACGCGACTTTTATCTCGATTATGATTTTGCGTTGGATGTTTAATAATATCAGCGATCATTTATTTTTACAGGTTGTCTACAGTGAAATGCAGGTAATATGTGAGAGTATTGAGTCAACGTCCTTTTGTCTTTATCTGAATCATTTTTGTTCTTTAATTTGTTGTCTATAGGGTCGTCAGAATTCTAGTGAAAGTTGCGTCTCGTTACGGTAATGATGGTTCGCTGAACCATTGTTTTTTTATGTGGATTATTTGTTCATTCAATTTGTATTATCTAGATATCAGCGACTGATGTATCCTGAAGGCTGTGGATATCGTAGCGAAACGGGAGGATTGATGGAGGCTCTTCGAAAGCTTAATGTCGAGACAAGTACGCTGAACTAATTAGAATTCTTGAAAATGTTATTTTTTTATACTTTACATTTTTTTCATCTTATTCTTACGCGAATGAATGAATTAATAATAGTTCGTAAAGTGAGTATTTCATTTGTATTATATTACTTGTTGCTTCCGATCTTATTGTACTAATTATGCTCTATGTCTTAGTACCACTCGGACTACTATAGACCTGATAATCTTTGTCTGATTATCACTGGAAAAGTTGATTTTAATGCGTTATTAAAAGTTCTTGAACCGCTAGATGAAAGGATTGCCTCGAAGGGAGCATTGCCTTCTCATAAAAGGTAAAGTTGTTACTTACAATGGTTACCTTAACACCTTTTATTTATTTATTTTTTTTGTAACTGATGTAACGACATTTCATCTTCAATAACAATATAGGCCATTCGTAGACTCACCACCAGTTCCACCGTTAGAAAAGTCCATACGAGAGGTAGTTGAATTCCCTGACGAGGATGAGAGTATGGGTGAAGTGCTAATTGCTTGGTTTGGACCTTACATTCATGTAAGAATTTTCTATGATTTGCTGCATCGGAAAGTTTGGTTATTAAATTTTAAATTTGTTATAGGAATACCTGGACATCCGTGCCTTGGAAATATTGCACGAGCAAGTATATTCGCATTTTCATGTAATCTATTATTATCAACGATACTTTATTGTCTTCTGAATGCTATATTTGATTTGTTTCGATTTCGCATTTGATCTATTATAATCAGGTATCTTACTGATTCGGCTGTGTCAGTGTTACAAAAAGAGTTTGTGGAAATTGAGGATCCGTTGTGTACAGGTAATTGGACTTGAATCTGACCTCACTTTTTATGCATTCTTCCTTCGCTTGTAAATATCGCGATTTATTAATAATTCTGCCATAATACTCGCATTTAAATAACTCAGACATTGATATGTCAATTGACGAACAAACTCGAACCGCCATTTTGGCTACATTCGAAAATGTACCTGCCGAAGATCTAGAAGAGTTGGTTGACGGAGTTTTTGAAGTGCTCAATAGGATTGTGAACGAAGATGGAATTGATATGGAGCGTATGAGAATCGTTATACAGAGGGATCGGTTAAAGGTAACTATTGTTTATTATACGGCGAAATTTATCGGGTGCCAATGAGAAGTGTAAAGGATGTTTATTAATTACATATATTTATTTAGACCTTAAATGAAATTGAAAATGATCCACATTATACTTATTCCGAAGCCTGCATTATTGGTATGGTTATTTCCTACATGTTTTCCGTTTTACTGATGTAAACTGATGACATTTGTTGTAGATCATTTGTACGGAAAAGAGAATTGTGAAGATCTTGAGAGAGCTGTCAAAGATCTGCGATATTACGATGAGATTTTGAATTTTAGTGAAGAGCGATGGATCGAGTATCTGAAAAAGTCTGTTTTTTTTTTCCCTTGAACTAAGTGTTATTCGAAATTTGTTCAAAGTTCTTTTTACAATTAAAAGGTATTATGTTGACAAACCTCACGTTGCCATACTCGGTCACCCTTCGTCGGAATTCGCCAAGAAACTTTCCGCCGATGAAAAGCAACGTATCGAAGAACAGCGCAAGACGCTAGGTCCCAAAAAACTAGAAGAGCTGGAAAAAAAATTAGAAGAGGCCAAACATTTAAATGATGTTCCAGTGCCTCATGAAATCATAGGTAAGAAAGGAAATAGGCAAAAACGAATGAATATATACTTTTGATGGGTGATGGGTGTAACTTTCTATTATCACGAGTGTGATGGTGATTATTTTTATATTCTATTTTTAAAGACAATTTCCCAGTACCAAGTGTTGAGACTATTCCGTTTATTAATGTTATTACTGGGCGTAATAAATCCGAAGGAAGATTGTAAGCATTATCTTATCTCGTTTATTTTTGGACGCGTTATATTTTAACCATCTGTAATTTTGCAGTAACAACGTGGTTCAAGAATATCTTGATAGTGACGTTCCGTCAAAGGAGTTGCCTTACTTTATTCAATATGACCGTAAGTCACTGAATGTACTTTTTTATCATTTTAACTATTATAATGCAAATTTTAATTGCTGGACTTTTTATTTTGTCTTTACCTACAGATGTCGACTCTTCGTTCATAACGCTCACGGTTTACATTACCACAACAGCCATTCCCGCGGAACTTCGTCCCTATCTCGAAATATACATGGAATCATTCTTTAGTCTTCCATTGAATATTGAAACCGAAGGGGGCGAACGTAAACAATTATCATTCGAAGAGGTTGTGTCAGAACTCAACAAGGATACGGTATCATATTCATGCTCGTTGGGTTTGGAGGGATCATTTAAGGAGATGATATGCCTGATGGTCAAAGTTGAGGTAATTGTTCATTCAAGCAAATGTTCGAGAGTCAGGTGGAGATTTGATGTATTGTGATTTTCCGTTGCAAAGGCTAGTAAATACGAAAAGGGAATCCGATGGCTACGTGACTTGTTGTGGAATACCGAGTTTGCGGCCGAAAGGTAGCAAGTTTTTTTTCTGTTTCACGCAAATTCAATCATTCGCATTTCTAAACCAACTCCATATACTATATATACGTGTATGTAATGTATTTATTAGGCTTAAAATTTGTGCGACAAAGTTGTTTAACGATATACCGCAAGCTAAACGCGATGGTTATGACGTGAGTTTACCCTTGCATTGTGCATATGTATATATTTTTCCCTTTTGCTTATTTACTTCTTACCTTACGAAAATAGATGTCTTCAACAGTGTTGCGAATAATTCATTATGACCCTCTCAAATCGAACAAGTATGCATTATCCGTGCTGAACCAAGAAAAGGTTTTACCCAATGTTATTGAATTGTTGGATAAAGATCCTGAAAAAGTGATCGAAGAATTTCGCCGGTTCAGAAATACTTGTGAGTATATATTTTTTTAATATTATTACACATATCCCTTATTGATGTGCATCTCAATCATTATGACAGTGATTTCACCAGAGAATCTAAGAATTCACGTGATTGGTGATATCCTAAAAATTAAACGGCCAAGGAATAGCTGGATTGATGATTTCAAAATAGTTTCGGTATATAGAAATTTATCAAATTATCTTTTCTTTTTTAGTCCTCTATCATATAATAAACTTTTGTCTATTTATTTATTGTAGGATATACAACACTTGTCTCCTATTCCATTGGCGCAAAATGTGTTGACCGAGTTTGGACGTCAGCCCGGCAATAAGGTTGGCATTAATCTAGGATTAATGTTTTTGAGAAATGATCTTATGTATTTGATGGTCCTACGTTTTTCATTAATTAAAAGGGGTACATTGTGGAATTACCGGCAATCGAAAGTACTTTTGCTATTCTCGCGGCTAAAGGTAATATTAGAATCTTGTCAAATTTAATGTATCCTTTTATACCTTGATTAAATGAATTTAATCAAAAACACTAATACACATCTATTCATCTAGGCCCAACAACATATGACTCCCCAGATTTGGCACCTCTCCTAGTGTTATGCGAATTATTACAAACAATGGAGGGACTATTCTGGAAATTGATTCGTGGGCAAGGACTGGCTTACAGCGTTGGGCTAAGAGTCACAGTTGAATCAGGTCTGTTAGTGTCTCATGTCTTTTCCTATTTTTATTTAAATTCAAACTCTATTGAATATTGTGCCTATCTCCTATTATAAGGTCATATACTCCTCACTATATACCGCTCACCGGATGCTTTTAAAGCCTTTGATCAGGCAAGGCAGGCTGTTCAAGATTTAGCCGAACGAAAGGTAACTTTTTCGTTATTTTTATTTTATTTTTCTCATCTCACTTTGTTCTCAAATTCTTGGTCATCAGATTGAATTCGACAAATCGGGATTTGATGGAGCTAAATGTGGAGTTATCTATAGTCTTGTTAAGAACGAAGTATGTGTAAAACATTTTTCTAAAACTTATTGTACTTAAAATACTAATGTGAATATTGCAATCTCTTTTAGGGTAGTAAACAAAAAACGGTAAGTTGAATTAGATTGGTTATACATAATTTGTTTTAGTATTATATTGATACCACGCATGTGATCATTGCATTGTACATTTAAATTAGGCAAGGGAATCGTTTGTATTGCAAGTTTTGAAAAACATGGATGCTTCTTATAATAGGAAATTGATTTCATTAGTTCAAGTACAGTATTTCTTTTTTTTATTCATTTTCATTTGTATCTCCAAATCTCTACTGAATTCTTCTGTGATGTAAACTTAGGGCGTGAAAATTGAAGATCTTCACGCAATGTTGTCAAAGTACGTGACTAAATTATTCTTACCGGAATCTTCTAACGTTGTGATCGTTTCCGCTGTTGGTAAAGTTGAGGTAAATGAAAATACTTTTTGTTGCTCTTATTTTTAATGATGTTAAAGCTTGTTTAACGAAATAATAATAATAATAAAAAACAGGACGTTCGGGTGGGATTTCATTCTCGCGGCTTCAAAATGGAAGTTAAGAATTTGAATAACATTATAGAATAAATAATGTACATATCTAGAGTTTGTAAGTTTATAGGCATATTTACCAACAAAAACTAGATTCTCACTGTATTCTATAATAAATTTTAATAAAATGGTGATGTTTTGAATAAATAATACGAGCCTGCTTGTTATAATAAATATATTCACGGTTTTATACAGTACAACGCATGACCAGATAAAGATTTGTGCAATCTTGAAATTGCATTTACTTTTTTGATATGAGTATACAATATATAAACCATCTGAAGGTTCACCAGGGGAATGTCGAAATAAATAATTTAATTCCATTAATGAATTTACCATTATCCAACACATAAAAACCGAAAATATAATAAGGCGTACTTGCATGACGCCAATGAAGTATGAAAAATATTATTGATGGTCTTAAATATTTACTGATGCTTGATAAAAAATATACCGTATGGTAATAAGAACATAATGCGCGTAACATATGGATTAATAAAAAGTAAGTTTTTAATATTTAACAAGAAGTCATTCATTCTTTGTATAACAAACCAATTATTCAAAAGTTTTTTAAAAGTTAACGGAGCTTATTGATGTTGAGATTAGAAGTTTGGAAAATTTCAAAAATTCAATACTTTGAAAATAAAATGAATAATTTGAATTTATATTTTTATTTATAACTCAATCCAAAATGTGATGAGATAAAAAATATACTGATAAATGAATATTGAATAGACTGTACTATACTGTATATACTATATATATACAGTGTGAGTCAAAATTATTGGAAAATCACTGCGGCGAGATCTGTATAAATTAAACTAACCAAACTC